TTTTGCCCTCTGACTCCTGAATACTAACGTGTGACCTCAGCGGACTTCCTCTAGTTTTTATAGGCACTGCACTGTTTATATTTGGCACAATTTGTATTCTGCCTGAGATAGAAGGATGCAGAGCTGCGTGTGTGTTGGTGGTGGTTGAGAAGTCTTGGTGTGTATATGTGTGTAATGGCCTGGGACAAGTGTGTGGCTGGGGCAGAGAGGCTGGGAAGAGTATTGTTGTCCCTGTGCTCTTTTGGCCTGAAGGAAGGAAGCCGTGGAAGTGGGGAGTAGAGAGAAGGAGAAAGAAGGGCCACTCCGACACAGTCAGTGTGATTGGATTCGAGATCAGTTTCCTTTTCCAAAGTGTTTTAGCGTTTCTTAAATGCAGGGTCTGTGTCATTAACTCAAGAGTCATTTTCACCATCATCCTTCTTTCTGAAGAGGAAACATTTTCTGTTATTTTGTCTGTGTCTGGCATGCTTGTTCTTTCGGAAGCAGCCAGAAATGACAGTCTCGCTCACATCTGGGATTTCTCCAGATTTGCAGAATAAATAGTATTCTGTTTTCTTATTTTTTTGGCTTGCAGCCGTTTCAGTCACCTTTTCTTTTTTCCCTGGGTTTCATTTTGTGATTGTGTTTGTGTGTGTGTGTACCCAGGAGTTTCATTATAGCTGCAAAATATTAGTTTAAAGGTTCTCGCTGTTGTGAATTACAGCCTAAGTTAACAAATGTCTTGTAAATTTGTTGTAACTTGCCATTAGTGGCAATACAGCAAAATTTCTTCTGTCTTTCCTCTTTTTCTGTTTGGTCACTTTCGGCACCAGATGATTGGTGTGATTATCAACATCTCACTTTAGGAGGTTTTTATATTTCATATTTAAAAACAACAACAACAATCCGATCGGAGGATGGAGTATAGAGTTAAATGCCCATGTTCATGGTCATATATGTAAATATTTCAGTGTGGAACATGTCACCCAGTGTGTGCGGCTGGCTCATTGATGTTTGGGGAGCAATTTTTGAACAGCAGCGGGTCTCTGTGGACCACAGAAATAAGCGCTGACAGGATTTAACTATATAAATGATACTTTTTGGCTCAATTAATTGCTGGCTTTGAGTGTTTCAGACAATTTGTTAAGCGCTTTGCTCTCAGACTGCAGGATTACTTGTGGTTCCTAGAGTTTCCAAACTGGGAGGCAGAGCATTGAATTATCAGGCCACCTTCCTATGCAAAAAGCTTTAAGTCTAGATCCAGGAGGCAGGCACTATCTACTTCTTAAGATCAGGCTTAAAACCTCCCTTTGTGACTAAGCTTATAGTAAGGTGATATAGAAATATCACCAGATTTAACTTTAATTAACTCCACTTGTTAACTATCATTTGAAAGTGCTCTTATCCGTCTTTCTCTCTTTGTCAAGGGACCTGATTCTGCCTGGTCCTAATGTGCAGTAGGTGTTCAGTTCAGTATAGGTGCATTAAAGTGTTTACTACCTAATGAAGAGCAAATGCTGCACAAACAAGCTTTAAATAAATTTGTGCATCTGAGTATGTGTGAGCGTAGGAGGCATGTTCAGAATCAGCATGTTGGATTGCCCAACAGGTGTTTGTTTAAGATAATTGGAGGTAATTTGGACTGACACAATCTGCCACCGCTGCTGACAGAGAGCAGACCTATTGCTGTCTGGAGTCAAAGAGTAGCTATTCTCTGTCATCACATATTGGAAATTCTCTACAGCAAACTTGATTCCTTCTACAAAGGCAACATGTAAACATTTAAAAAGTGGTGTTTTTGTTACAAAAGGTAGAATTAGTTTGATCAGGAAGAGATGAAATGTTTTTTTTAATTAAAAGAACTTGATGTTGATTTTATGTATCTTAACAATTAAGTGGAATGAAAATACTTTCTTTACCTTAAAAGGAGATTTTTTTTAATCCTAGTAAGACTTTATGCCAATATAACACCCCCAACAAAGATATACCACTGGGTTATAATTCATTTACATTTATGGGCATTAAATTGATTACTTTTAGTGTATTATAGTGCAGTTAGAGTATGTAAAGTGACTGCTGGTTCCAGAGGACCATGAGCACAATGCTATTAGAAGAGAGGATGCTGTTGCTGTACACTGGCAGTTAATGTGTTCCTGGAAATGCTACAGAAGCGGTGCACTCAATAGGGAATTGAGCTGATCATTAATGTGTTTCTCAGACTTCTTCTGATATGTACCTACCTTTACATATTGTCAGAAATCTGGTTTTAGCTTGCTAGTTGTCTCTAAATCCGCCCGTTCTGATCCATCCATCGCTTAGTCTTGTCTGAGTGATGTTTTTGATCTCTTGCATTTATCTGTGTCAGGCAAACCAGTCTCTTAGTGACTGTCTCCCTCCCTTGATGTCTTTCTCTGTCATAAATGTAATTACTCTTTTTACTGTGGCAAAGATGGCTGCCTGCTTTCCTTTCTCCCTGTGCGTCAATAATTTATGAGAGAGGCTGTAGGACATAGGCCCCCAGTGTTCCAACAAGGTAGACACAGTTTTCCAATATGTCCTTAAAATTTCATTGCAATATTATTCCAGAGGTTAGAAAATCAGGACTAGCACTAACATTTGGTTTTGGACTGTTGCCTTTAAGTCTTGCATGCACAAGATTGTAAGCATTATTCACTGTTACTGAATGTAGATGTTTAGATGCACCTGACAGTGACTGGATTGTTATCAGTACTTTTCAATATCACCTGATATCATGTCCATCTGACTAAATCTTAGATTATTGTTGTATTTACGTTTTCACATTCACAACTTGGTAGTCAGTTGAGCAAAAAAAATGATCTTTAACGAAATTTCCCAAATAAAAAGCACTACATGAATACTGGCAGGATAGAAGCAAAGTCCACACATAATTCTTGTCTTTGTAACTAAAACATGGGCAGAATACCTGTATCACAATTGAGGCCATCCTGTTTTTAGATAAATGCATAATACAACCTTTGTACAACTTTTAAATTAAAATTCATTACACTTATCTATGCAAAGCTAACCTTATTTACAGTGTGCTTTAGCTGAACTGTGTCCAGCTAGGACAGCGTGATGGAAACTGATGTAACTATATTACGTGCTGATGTTTAATATACTAACTGCAAATTAAATGTTTTAAAGCAGCTGTAGCTCTCCGGGCAATCACAGGGAAAGAAAATCACATGGTTCTCTTATTAAGATGGTCAGCTTATGTAGTGCTCATGTGATAAATTTGTTTTCAGTTTCAGTTTTGGACAGTGCAACACTGAAATGGACCAAATGTCAACAAGACAAATGGATGGCAAACAATGTGAAAAAAAAATGGTCTAATCACTCAATAGTAACCTAATTAGTAAACAAGTGGATAATTACAACGAAGCCAATTACAAGGAAGAGCATCAAAAATAAAAAGTAAACAGGGAAATACAGAAGAACTTAGAGAAGTCTATTAGCAATGCTAATGCTCAGTTAGCTGTTTAGAAATGCTAACTGCCAGCTAAATTCCAAGAGTTAAGTGCAGGCTTAAAAATTAAGAGATGTATCACTTCCAGTCTTCAGTTTCCAGCTACTAATTTCACATTTTTTGTAAAAAACTACAAATGACAGCGTATTCAAACAAAAGTAAACTTTTCTTCAATGCTAAATATTATTTTCATAACAACAAAAAAAAGATTAAACTTTATAGTGTCCCCAAAATTTGAGTAAGTTGCAGGATGTCCTCTCACTGAAACAACTGAAGTAACTGAAAATAAAGTGCTCCGAGACCAGAAAGAGGTGCAAATAACTGTTAACTGTTACTGTGCACCAAACAAAAGAACGTTTAACAGATTTACATAACAAAGGTCATTTACTTAAATAATTTTCCAGTATGTTTATAATTTCACCAGATAAAAGGTCAGCACCTTTCTGTTTTCTTGTCTCCATAATTTTTTCTTGTAACAGCTCTGATCCTTTGGCTTCGAGCTCTGGGAAGCTTTAGCAGCTTTGTTACTTTCTTTAAATTGTCCATGTTCGTCTGGGTGAAGATTATGTGTCTCATTAGGTCTGTTCTAACACTTTGTGTCTTAACTCATAGTGAAGAGCTTTCATTCCAACAACATGTTAGAATGTGAATGCAACCATTTGCCTGCACCACAGTGTGCATGTTGCATAATCTGACATAGATGAGGCTGACCAGCCGGTCACCAATCAGAGCCAAGAATGCTGAAAATTGACTGATTTCGGTCCCTAGCTGGTCGATCAGCACATTGCTCATAAAAGTCTGTAACTTACACATACATAGTAAGATTATGTCCAAAAACTGTTATGCATAATTACTTAATAAAAACAAAAACTACATTTCTGTGTGAATAAAAAGCAGTTGAAATTGCAAATATTTCTTGGTGATTTGGCACATTTCAGGTGTTCTAAATGTGAAGCTGTGAATGGTCCCTCTATCCTGCATTTTTAACAAATGTATCAAATAATGGTAATGTGTTCATTGTATAATTGCTGTCAAGTTCAGCTGCGGGTGGGACCTGCTTCTTGACCTTTTCCACATTAAGATGTTTGGTCCTTTAAAAACGACAGAGGTCAGCTGCTCCTCCCTGGTCAAATTCCACCGATGAAATGATTCAGATGAGTTTCCAGATGTGCACTAATCTAAGGGCCCATCTTCCACTATAACCTGAGGGATGGGAAGGGACAAAGGCTTAGGACAAAAATGCGCTATATAACGACGCCAAAAAAAAAAACTATAAACGTAATTAATATGTTTTTTAATTTTGTTCTAAACAAACAATTATAAGCAAAATGAAGATTTGCTTTATTTTTGAGAGTGCAATCTTACCACATTAAGCCATATAAAAGCTGATTTGACTCAGTACATCCACATGTCTGGATCACTGGGAAAAGGCAAAAGTTGGGAAAAATGTGTCTAGACGGTACAATATGTCTGTGTTTGTGTGTACTTCAGGAGGTGATCAGATGATTGTTGTTCTTACTTTCTCCCCCCCAAGGGTCTCCATGTGATGGGGATGTGGCTCGATGGAAAAACAGAAGAGGGAATGGAAGAGAAGTGAGCTGTTTGATTATATGTGTGTAAATGCACAGGAAAGACAGTAATTGGACATGTTACAGACTGACCTTCCATCATGCATGCCTAAGTCTTAGAGGATCAATGGTTGCACACTGAGCATGAAAAAACGATGCTTCTTTATCTTTTTTAGGTCAGCGCTGCCACCCTGCATGCCTTTGTGTGGGAAATAAAAATGCAGCCGCAAAAAAAGGGTGGGATAGGAGGGATGTGAACTGGTGATATGCTGCATTTTTCCACTCACAATCCAACCTTTGTATGTACTAAGCTGAGAAATGATACAATCTGTTACAAGCAGGGATGCTGTTCCTCGTTCCCCATCAACAACAACACAATCAAACAATTTTAGAAATGTTACTGGCCTTGCTGTAGGTTAGGTTGACAGCTGTTTTTGTCATAGCTGTTTTTAAAAAGATTGGATTAGATGCGTATAAAGATGATGAGCCCATATATGTTGTGGTAAACTTTCATTCTGGTCTAGGGAGAGCACAACATTCTTCTGTTCTCCATCAAACACTTAAGCAACCAGAAACTCTAGTCAGAGTCAGAGAAGTTAATTTCTTCCCTGGGAGTAGAGAAAATGGATAATTTGACACCAAGTCATTCAAAACCTGTATTTAATAAGTACGTTAATTCTTGGGCTACTTTGATCACTGTAATGTTTCTAAAGATTCCTGCTATTATAGCAAATTATATCTGTGCAGGGGTGTAATTTTATGTGGCGAAAGAGACATACTTCCCCTTAAGGTTTTATGTGAATCACCTTTTTAAATGTCACCTTTTAAATGTTTTTACATAATAGTAATAATTTAAATTAGAGATGAAAAACCAAAAAGTCATTAGTTTGCCCTACGGATGTAATTCTTAATTAGGACTGCAACTTATCATATATATTTTTTAACATTGATTAACCTGTCTGCTGATTTCCTGAATAGTGGATTTTTACAAAAATATTTTAATTTGTCATTTTGTCTAAAACCTAAATGAGACGTATTGAGTTTGTCCTCATTTTCCATCATTTATAGAGTCAAATGAAGGTTTACAAAGGACTCTATGCAGTCCTGTGACAAACTGAGTTCATCCCAGGATTTGAGAGCTTGTAGAAACACCTCTAGAGCAGGTAGCTCTTGTATATGACTTCATCAGTCTTTTGAATTGTTGTGAAGACATTTTGGTCTATTCTTCTTTTCAAAGCTCTTATTCATTTATGCACAGCTCTCTTAAAGTCCTGCATTTCAATTGGGTTGAGGTCTGGACCGGGCCACTGCAGTTTTTTTCAGCCATTCTGTTGTAGATTTGCTGGTGTACATGCGATCATTGTCCTGTTGTACGACCCAGTTTTGGCCAGCCATTAGCTTTTAGATACATTACCTTATATTTGAATCTAGAACGCTTTGATATATAAAAGAGTTTATGATTGAGTAAATAACTGCAAAGTGTGTTAGTCCTGTGGCTGCAAAAAAAAAGCTCAAATCGTCATCCTTCCACTACCGTGCCTGACAGTTAGGATGAGATGTTTCTGCTGATATTTTTGTTTTGGGTTTTTTTATTGTTGTTTTTGAGGATTGCACAGTCTGACCTTCAGAATTTCTGTATACGTCCACTCCTGGGGAGACTGAGACTTTGCTTGAATACAAACTTAAATAAAACCAGCAAATTGCCAGAACTGTATCATCCGTTTACAGTCACATAAATCAAATCTCACATTTATTAAAACAGTAGTTTTCTCACCTAGATGTTATATTTAATGTAAGAATTAACGGACTAGTTGTAATTTTTAAATGGAAGATTATATCCCAATACATTAGACATAGTTATAAGAGATATAATTCCCTCTCAGCACAATAATACTTACCAAAATAAAACATATGTGGAGACATTAGCTATTATTGTCACATAACACGTGTTGTCCTTAGAGAGCTGAAAGTAGTCAGGGTTAAATATAGTATATGAATGTATCAACGTCATAATACCCCCATATGGCACTCACAGTTGTTAGTGAAGATGTCTATAGCTTGCATACTAAAATCCTTGTACTGAATTCTTGTACCCAGTCGATTCTGTCTTATATAGTCTTTATAAATTTAAATTTTCCAGTCTGGGATCATGAATTTATCACTATGTTTAATTTGCTCTAGAGGTCACGATAAGTGCTGCCTTTTGGATCTGATAATCTCAACTATTTACTACAGAAAAAGGTGGAACTCAGTGCAGGATTTATCACTTTTTCATAGCAATAGCTTTATCCTATCTCCGTTAAGCAGCAGTGTGCAGTCTTTTCCCTCTGGCTTTAAGTTTTCATCTGTCCATCCTCCATCCTGAAGCTCTTGTCTGGAACCTATTAAAGCAGGAATCTCCAGCAGAGCCCTCGCTGCACATTAGCATGCCTGCACCAACTTTTCCTGACTGGAAAGAGACTCTGATTTAGTGCCAAACACAAAGATATTTAACCTCAGTCACTGAGAAATCACTGGAAGGTAAATGACCGGTGAGCAAACACTGGGGTCACAGAATATTGCTTGATGCTGTGTGTAATGTCTGATTATGAGGCGTAACTCTTTCTCCCTCCCCCTCCTCCCTTCTCTCTCTCTCATGCTGCCCCTTAACTTGTCTGCCCTTCATCAGGATGGCTGAGGTGTCACATGAGGAGAGACTCCAGGCCATCGCTGTAAGTTATCTACACACATAGAAACATTCTGCTTTCTATTTTCTATTTCATACGCACACTTAGACACACACACACACAGAGTGCACATCATGCACGCTGATGGCTGAAGAATCAACAAATCATTGCTGCTTGTCATGGTCTGACTGCCAGTCTTAATGACTCAACCTTTTAGATTCCATCTCCTTCATCCATTAGAGGACATCAAAAGCTAATATAGTAGCTACAGCTCACTGCCCTTTTCTGTCTGTTCCTCTGTCTCTGTTCATCTTTTATACTTATAAAGGTTTTATTGTCACTTGTTGCCTTTTCTGTTTTAACATCCAGGTGTCTGGTTAGCTAAACTTTGTATATCGCAATCTCTTTTTTATTTTACCTGTGGCAAATATAGGGAAACACATTTATATTACTACATAATATCAGTTTAATGCCAGTACTACATTCCTATGCCTATGGTCAACAAGCTGTATGTATATAAAAAAAATATATTGGTTGACTACTAAAGATGACGTATATGCAGCTCTATTTATTTGAAGTTACCAAAATCCCCAAGTTGCCACACTAGTACTGCATAAATAAATATATAGTTCATATTGTTCTTTAAAAATATGATATTATTTCGATTTCTAATCTTTGTAATATGTATTTGCGCATTTCCTAGTAATCTTAATGCATGTATATCATAACAGGAGAAAAGGAAGAAGCAGACAGAGATTGAAAACAAGAGGAGACAGCTGGATGATGACCGACGGCAACTCCAGCATCTCAAGGTACACACACACACACACATTCACAGGCATACACATTTTCCACGTATTCCATAAGAATACTTGGTGGTTGACAAGAATACACATGAGTATTGGTGTCCACAACACATTGATCTCATAGTATGCACAGGGCACTCTCAGTTACCTCCTGCTCACTACTTCATCAGCACGTTTCCCCTGCTTCTCTTGCCGCTGGCCACATGTTTCCAGTTTAACTGTTTTTCCACCTTGTGTAGGCACATATTGAGTTTGTTGGATTTCTTCCAGGAAAGAAATCCATCCACCATGTTTTATGTGTATTTGTATATCAAGTATTCTTATTCCATTTGTCGAAGTAAGCAAATGAAATTCAGTTGGTACACAGAGAAGCTTGAGAGCTAGTTGAATCTGAGCAATAGATTTTGTTTTGTTTTGCAGTCACAGTAGACATAGTACTAATTATCATTGTTGCACGTGTTTAAATGTTATTATTTAATACTATCACCTCCCATCTACACTTGTGAATTCCTCCATCTGCTACCAAAAGAGTGCTTGCAGTGCATAAACTGGGATATTTGACCCCAGCATCACATTGCTCATCCTTCGTGAACATGCCAGTTTGGCTTTGTTTGAAATGCACTCGAGCTCTCCACTGATAAAACTAATGTACAGTATGTGTCATCTGTACTCCTACATGCCTCTCCCTTCACAGAACTTCTAACAAGCTAACAGAAATACTGCCGTGTTTCTGGGATTCATGCTCTTACGTGTGTGAGCAACGTTAGACACCCACACAACATTAAAATCAACAGTTCCCTTCAAATATATCTGTCCAACATAGTGAGATACTCCCCAACTGCTGCTGTCACGGAATGTTCAGAATGGATAACAGATAATACCAAAAGCTCCTCCACATGCTGTTTATACACACACACACTCATGCATGTAGACACACACTCATTATATCAGAGCCAAGGTTTTTGTCAGCGTATGTGTCAGCGTTATCAAAGCTATTTCAGCCACCGACAATTCAGCAGGTCACAGATAAGAGCAAAGGTTGAGGTGTGTATTTGTCATGTGCACACGAGTATGTGTGTGTGTGTGTGTGTTTCTAAAAGTGACCTGTACTGTTTTCCCTGTGTGCTCCCACTTTTTCTATTTTCCAGGCAAACCATTGTAAGTGTGTATCTGTACATGTCGCGTCCAGTTTTGTGTAGGTTGCTTCATAAAGGAACACAGAAGCTTCAGACAATGCAGTGGGCTTTAGCAGAGGAAACAGATTTTTGTCCCACTCCCACCAACAGGAAACGGCTCTTACACCCACCGCACCCCACTTTCGTCTCACACACACACAGAGGGGAAGTGTAATCATGCTGTCCAGGGTTGTTAGAAGGCTCTTTGTGTGGACCACGGCAAGTATTCTTGACTCAGAGGCAGACCGATGTGGAAATCCTAATGAACGTCTTTGCTTACGCAGTACATTTTTTTAGGCATGTACCCCACCATTAAATCACACCAGTACACGATTAAACACACACACATATATGTACACAGACTTGTTAACAGAAAATGTGGTCAGAAATGATTACGCTAACAGGAGTCAGCAGTCAGTCAATGTCAACATGTTTTCTTAAAAGGAGAAAAGCAGTTGGCAGAGGTGTGTACAAGTTGTGATTTTTCAAAATAAAACAATTAGCACTCACAGCTAACAGACTTTTACAAAGTTGGGAAAGGAGTAGTTTGTCATTTTCTTATTCATAAAAACATAAATAACACAGCTGCGGCAAGCGAGCATTTAATTTTAAAACCACATCTAAACCTCATTCATTTAATTACCAAGGACATTTGCTTAACCTGTACAAGAGACAAAGGCTAAAAGTACCACATTTAAGCTTTAGACCGCTAAGTCACTTTCGCCATCCTCCTATTATACCACAGACATTAGCTCAAAATGAAAATGAAAGAAAAAAAATGTAAATTTGACGAAATGTTTGACAAAAAACACGGACCAGAGAAACTTTAATTTGACAAAACTGACTTTTGGATAGATGCAAAATGTGATTTGAAATAAACTTCTTCTCTTTCCAGCTGTTCATAACATATCCATGTGTGGATGGATGCTTGTCTGCGTGTGCGTATGTCTGTATCCCAGTTCCGCCCTTTGTCTGCTACGTTAGCAGCTTTTACTCCAAAGAACAATGGAGAGACGTAGCTTCAGCATTCCTAGCTTTTCAACTGTTCGCATTGACTGGTGTGTGTGTGTGTGTGTGTGTGCGTGTGTGTGTGTGTGTGTGTGTGTGAGTGCTTCCATATGCAAGAGTGAGCACATTAAAGTGATGTCAGGCGCTGGTGTAGTAGGGTGTGGCTCATGAGAGCAAGCAAGATTCAGAGAGTAGTAAGAGGGCAAAGCAGGTTTAGATTCAGTGCCCAAGAGACCATGCAGGACTGAGGAATGAAGAGTGTTGAATTACACAGTGTTAAGTGTGTGCTCTAAAGCTCTGCAGCTGGATGTCTGAAGTTGAATTACTCAGTGGAGAGGGTAAGATTTTAAACAGAACAGCAAATAAAAAAAATTTAAACACAGATATAAAGTGAGGGAGATACACCCTGACATTTACAACCCTTTTTAGGTTCCTAAAATTTAGGATGGGCAAAGAGGCATATGCTACACGAGAGAGGAAGGGGGAGGTTTTTTGTTTTTTTGTTGGGTTTTTTTTTTTTTGTAGAAATTCTAGTTGCATCACTGGAGAGGAATTCGCATCAAGCACATGTCCAGATTTTCAGCCTAACTTGTGAAAACAAGAGCTTTTTTTTTCTAACACTTTTCCATATGGTCAGGCAGGGTTGTCTTTTGCTGCATGGTCCAACAGCTGCGAGTAAGACACGCTGTTATATTTACCTCAGAGCACGCCAAGTATTTGCTTTGATATTAACTCATCCAGAGGATGGAACGTGGATGGGGATTGAAGATAAGAATACTGGCCTGTGAAAATAATAAGGAATAATAGTAGTCACTGTTAGTTTTCTAAGCTTGTTCATAAAGATATTACTTGGAATGAATTAAGCTCTAAGAAATATTTGATCTAGTTTAAGATTAGAGCCACTTCCTTTTTTATCTCCCAGTGACCTCTCTATATACCCATTCCTTTCTTTAATTTAGTATAATGATATTAAATAAATGTTTGGATTTCCCAGTTTGATACCAGAAGTCCTGATCCACTGGCCGGGTGCCATTTAGTCCACTTGGCAAACTATTTGGCAGCAGTTAAAGTGTTTGACAGAATCCCTGAGTTTCAGCAGTCAGCAGAGAAGTGCGAGACTGCCTGGCAAGAAGATGTTGTTGCTTTAGATTAACTAAAGAGTTCATCATTAGTGTCAGAGATGGTGTCACTAATCTCTCGTGTAAGAAAGTACATCGATGTCCAAAGAGAGGCTGACTCTGTGCAGCATGTGGAGAAATTGAGGTGCTTCTAACGTTTTAACCACTCAACTTGTGCATAATGTATGCATAAAGATCTTCCATAAGATCCTTTCTATGTAGCAAGCACGCACACAAATGCATCAACACCCATGGACACATCAAGTACATACACAGTAAAACTATATTCCACTATATTCTTACCATTGCTAGATCAATTTTATAGAACGTAAGTTAAATGGTCTGGATTACCTAGACTTTATCTGTGTTCTTAACATGTATATTATCCTTGCAGTCAAAGGCACTGAGAGAGCGCTGGTTGTTAGATGGAGCTCCAGCAGAGGAGGAGACTCAGAAGCGTCTGCAGGAGGACGAGGTGAAGACCAAACTTTTGGAACAAGTCATCCTCAGGTGAGCAATCCCCCATATGTTTAATTTTTGAAGCAGTTTATCCATTGTTATTCTTTTATTTTGAAATTAACCGGTAAATTGCTACAATATTTAAAAAACCAGGAGTAGCAGTAGCAGTGTGATTTAATGGTGTTTTGATTTGCACTCAGAGTTTGCTCAAATATAATACAATTTGTGGTCATGAATGATCCACAGATTTTTTTTGTGTGTGTGTGTGTTTCCGAGCCAGGCTTGAGCAAGAGATTGAAGAACTTGAGACAGGCATACCAGCCAATAAGGGTGTGGCCAAAGAAAATGGAGGTAAGTTTGGTGCCCATGGCAACATATTGTATCATCACATGGGAAACCATGGCAATGCAGCCTGAGCGCAAGTGTCACAAAGACAAAGTGTGCTCATAATAACCTCTTGATTTACTCTGTTAAATCGGTTCTCCATACCGGAGGTCATTTAAACAATATTTCCTTTCTTTCTTTGTCCTACTGTCTGACCCTGACCACGCTCTTTTCTCATGCACTTCCCTAATCTCTCAACGATGCTTTGGTGCTCTCTATAGGTGAAAATGGAGTAGTGCAGACCTCTGGTCAGACACCCAAGAGAGAGGTGACAGGGATTGAGGCCAAGCTGCTCGGCCCTAGCCCTGACCAGGCTAGTGCAGACAACCCAGTTACTCTAGTGTTCATGGGCTACAAGACCGTGGAGGAGGAACAGGAGACTCGCACGGCCTTAGGAATGGACGGGGTGGATGGCAATGTCAAAGCCGAGTTTGTTGTGATCGAGGATGGGGAGGAGAAAGCGGGCGGAGACGCAGCCACAGAAGAGCAGCCTCCACCTAACGGAAGCATGGCAGAAAAAGAGAAGCCTAATGAAGGTGGGGAGGAGGGCGAGAAGGAAAAGGAGAAGAAACAGACCTGCAAATGCTGCACGGTCATGTGAGGCGTATGTGCGTGCGTATGTGCGCGTGGGTGTGTACACACTTTCACCTTTGCAGGCATGTGTGCCATTGCATGTGTCTGTATTTGCAAATGTGTGTAACTTTTTGTTTTTGTGTGAAAGTGTGTGTATCGGGACTGGGGGAAAAAAAACAAAAAGTACAGTTACACAGCCAATATACCAACAATGAGAGCCAATCCAAGCTCCAGCTACAACAAGAACCACAAAGACTCATAAGTACACTTTACTCTATATTCTTTCTCTGATATGTATTTGACTTTTGATTTCTATTGATATTTTTCTATTTTTCTGTCTTGACATTTATATTGTATTCAGTATGTATAACTTTATTATGGGACTGTGTACTGTAAGTTCATTGTTACTATTGTTGGGAAAAAAAGAAAATGTATTAGCTCTCTGGACTGTACTGCTACTCAGTTGGGAAAATCTGGAAACTTTAAATCATTTAAGTAAAAAAAGCAAACTATGAAGGACACAGATACTTAGATATATATATTTCTCTGTTTAGGCCTAACAACTATTTATCGGTCAATTTCATATTGCAATATTGTCTAAGATATTATTTTAAATAGTATTTTAATATATTGATATGAAATTATGTTTTATACAATGTATTTATTGTTTTTGGTTCTCTGTATCATCTTCAACCATTAACTGCATGTAAGCTTGTAAGCACTACCACAGTCGCGTCACACTCATACAAGTGTCTGTGTTTTCTTAGACTCATACGTGCTCATATCTTTAGTCACGCAAGTCTTTCTATCAGAAACAGTAAGTATAATTGGCATTGTTAGAGATATGCATTATGTCAAAAAATACAGCAAGGAGACAAAGATAAATATGATCACTAACTAGGTTGCAAATCACAATAGTTTCGTACTGTATGTGGCACATGTACATTAAGATCACGGCTGTTGTGTTTTTTGAATGCAGCTCTGTTTCTCAAAACGTTGCAGCGCTGTGCAAAATGTAAATAAAACCAATGCAATGATTTGCAAGTCATTAAAACTGTACAGTTATTGAATAATAAACCATAAAAAAGGTTAAAAAAAATATGATTGTATTTTTGAAAATGTATTCTCATTTTCAATTTGACTGTAATATACGGTTAAACAGTACATGAGCGGGTATAAAAAGTGCCCAGTTCCTTTAGAAGTAAAAGATGGGAAGATGCAGAGGGGTTCACCACTCTGTAAAAGTCTGCATAGTCAAATAGTTC